GTACGACAAACGGTCATCGGACTTCGAAATCTTTTGCCCAGGGACTCAGGCTTGGCATCAGTGAACGAATATGGATGTGACAGTTATTCGCAGTGCAGCACTGGCTTGGGACCAGGGGAAGGAGGACGAGGAGTTGAAAGGAGACGAGGAGGTGACAAAGCCTTTTTGGTGCGATTGTGTGGTCACGGACGACCAGGGACATTCCAAGGTATGTGGTAAACGTTTTGCGACGACGGCAGCACTCATAGGGCACCGCAGAGAATTACACAACATCCGACCGTTGGTCGCCAGCTTAGTGGCGACCAACCAATGCCCTTGGTGCGAAAGTACCTTTGCAGACAGGCGCACGGCAATTGACCACGCCACGAGGGCTGCCGATGGACATGGAATGTGTTACCGTGACCGCAGCAAATGGAGCCACCCAATTGTCCCACCAGCAAGTGTGAAGTGCAAGATCTGCCATTTTGAGGCTCAAGACCTGTCCGAGTTCCACGCCCACGCGAGGACTCACCACCCAGGCCCCACTTCGGTCAGAGAACCTAAGAAAGGTGCGGCACACAGCGGAAATGCCAGCCGAGTTCATGGGGCTGCGTCCGCTCGACGTGCCAGCATGGGGTCTCAAGCGCAGGGCAGACCGAGGAGACCTCCCGCAGTCAGACGAGAGGGTCCCGAAGGAGGGCAAGGGGGGCTCCCAGCAGGCCAAGGGCGGGGACTCGGGCGGGGCAGCGGCAGCAGGAGGAGGCGAACCACCGCGCCGACCGCAGCCGCAGAAAGGCGGAGGCAAAGGCGACGACCACCACGCCCAACTCGGACAAGCTATCAGCAACCTTCAGAAGTTGTCGTTGCGCACGGCGCTGATGGCACGAGAACAGCAACACCTCAACTCGGACTTCTGGCTGATCCCAATCTCCTGTTCGCCGTGTCGAGTGGCCATCCAAACAGGAAAAGACTACGCCATGCAAGTGAGAGCGGCGGGCAAAAAGCACTCGATGGGCCCTCCACACGCCCACGTCGCAGTTGCTACGATCTCCGAGATGAAAAACGTTCTGGCGGCGACGATCAGCAAGGAGGGGGGGGATCGGACCCTGCAGTGGAGCTACGAGGTCCTCCAGCACTGGCTGAACCTAGCGTTCCACGAGAAGGGACGAGAGTTCGTGCTGGAGACCCTGAAGCAGTTCAAGATGTCGGAGGTGTACAAGCCCAAGGGTCAAGAGGACGACGGCAACGGGAAGGGCAAGCTGCTGTACACGATCAACCCGATGCCGAGCATCAGGGTGGCCATGGGCATCGAGAGGACTCCCAAGGAGAAGGACAAGTTCGAGATGGACGAGGACGGGAACCTCGAGAGCATGAAGGACGGGGAGGGGTATCAGAAGGACGAGCTGGACGACTACCACCCTCCCTACCTGAAGCAGGCGCTGGGCTACACGCTGAAACTGCTGGGTGGGGTCTACAGCACGAGCCACGGCCCCAAGAGCGACCTGGAGAGGCAGGTGGAGAAGCAGTTGCAGGCGTCGAGGTCGTAGGGGCAGCTGGACTGCCCAAAGATGCGGAAGCGTCCAACCAGAGCGGCCAGAGCGCGTCCAGCTCGTCAGGACCCGCTAAGATGCCAGTGCGCCCAGCCTTTTTCACTGTGGTGCCCTCGCCTCCGACGCCTGCCCCGCCGGTGACCGTTCCGCAGTCTCGGGAGGAACAGCTGGCAGAGATGTTGAGCCGTAATCCAGAATCGATGGCAAAGCTAAAAGAATTAGCGGAACAACGTGGAAATGACGGAAAAAGCAAGCAGCTGTACGAACTAGCCAAGCGATTTCAAGCAGAGCGGATCCAAGCATTACGATATCACTCGGAGGGTGCAGGAGGACGAGGAGGCGGTGGAGGTAAACGAGCTTAAGCTCAGCAGCAGAACTTACTACCGACTGGAATACGACGGGGGACAGACAGCACTTGTATGACGGTTATTGGGTTTTGGTTAATACAGTTATGACGGGTACGTACAGGTGACAGGGGAGGGCATTACTACAAGGACGGGGAGGGGCACATGCAGACGGGACGGGCACGATTGCAGAGGGATGGGCTGGCAAGGGAGTGGGAGCACTAGAGCGCACAAGTGGTAGGCATCGTAGGCTGGGACAGTCATTGTGACAGACAACACAGCAGAGGGGGGATTTGGACACCGAGTTAGGCACCGACATCGGCCCCACTTCTTTTCGTGTCAACGGCCATGCTTTCAGCGCGACTCGCACTCAGATTGTGCTAGCAGCATGCAGGACATCGAATGCCAACTAACAGTTGATCAGCTTTTATCACACAATGCTGGAGCGCATGTGGCGAACAGGTCCGTCGTAAAGGTATACATGCATGTGGGGTCCAAGGTTTGAGGTTCCCAGTGGGGCCCATTGGAGAGCTCCAGATTCGGTCGCCTGAGCCCCTGGAGAGCTCACCCACTACCAACTCCTGCTACGTGTCCTACCGACGGTTGGTCACAACAGGAGTGGAGCATCCGTAGCACAACTGGCTTACTACAGTTGCAAATTGTTTGGCTCGCCTTGCTACCGAAGCAACAACTTGTCCCGTGATGCCGCAGGTGCTGCCAGCGATCGAGGAGGCACCCGTGTTTCGCGGCGGCACCACGGCTAGCCAAGTCATCGGAGACGAGGCCTACGTGATCAAGCTCCAGGAGACCAACATTCAGAAGTGCGTGGACACGATGGCGGGGTCGTCCGCCCTCCAGGGTGGGATGGTGCCGTTGTTCGCCCTCTTCGCTTCGACCATGGCCCTCTTCACCTTCTGCGTCATGACCAGGCCCTGCAGGTCCTCCTTCTCGTCGAGCTGGAGCTTGCTGTACTCTTTCGCCGAGGCCATCTGCACGGGTGTGTCGTACTTCCATGCCAAGGTCCCGTGCGCTGTGATGAGCGCCCCCGTGGTCTCGTCGATGCTCTTGATTTGGTCGGCCAGGGTCTGTGTGTTCTCCGCCAGCATGAATGAGCCCTCCGCCGTCGTGTTGGTCACCTGCTGGCTGCGCGCCAGGTGCTGACTCAGCACGCGCTTCTGTGCGATCAGCACCTCGATCTGAGTTCGTGGATCTTCTACGGGTGGACGCCGCCAGAAGGAGGAATTCCAGTGTGGAACAAGGACGACCCGAAGACCTGGACGTTCTACGGGTGGAGGGAGCCGAAGAAGTGGGTTGACTACAAAGAGGGCAAGAGCTCCAAGCCAGCGACGCTCGAGGAGGCTACCCCACCGAGTGGAACGACGGCAGCCTCATCGAGCGATGGTTGCAACATGCCGATCCCAGAGACGGATGAGGACCAGCTCTAGAACAGAACCTCGAGGTCGGGGATGAGAAGTATGACATCACTGAGCGGCCGCGTGCGCTGCTCTTTCGCATTGCCGTTGTTAGGCTGGCGACTGCAAGTGAGAGACAGAGTCCTAAGGGGACCACGGAAACAACATGCCACTACGGACTGTGATGACACGACCACTGGACAGCTCCAACTACTGTCGGAGACAACTACTGTCAGCTCCAATCACCAGTAGACTCACCTAGAGGCGTGATCCCCCCACAGGCATCCCAGCTTCTGTACTTGTTGGCCCGGACCTAGGATTCGAGGAGTGGGCGGGAGGAGGGGGAGGGGGGGTCGTCTCGTCTCGTGCCGCCCGCGCCGCCGCGCGCGCCTTCGCGTCAACGGCATGACCGTGACGCAGGCGCCCCGCGGCGGCCCTCCCACCTCCTCCCCTCGGGTTGTGTGTGTGAGTGTTGTGCGGTCTGTCTCGTGCATGTCCTTCATACCCCTTGCCTTGGAGGGGGTGCACGTTGCTAGCCAGGTAGCCTGCACCCCGCTCCCGAGACTGAAAGCAGGACGCGAGTAGCGCTCCCTGCACGGCCCCCCCCCCTCGTCGTGTACCAGGGGGGCGCGTCCCAGGCAGGCCTACGGCACCAAGCGTAGGCCCTGCATCCATATTGTCTCGCAGGGATACTATAAGGTCTTGTCCCGCGGTGCTTTGAGCCTGTCGTGCTTAGGATCGAACCCATCCCCGAAGCGCCTTTACCTTTTACCTCCTCCCCCTCCTCCTCTTTCCTCCTCCTCCTCTTTCCTCCTCCTCCTCCTCCTCCTCCTCCTCCTCCTCCTCCTCTCCTCCTCCTCCTCCTCCTCATTCTCATCATCATCATCATCATCATCATCATCATCATCATCATCATCATCATCATCATCATCATCATCATCATCATCATCATCATCATCATCATCATCACCATCACCATCACCATCACCATCATCATCATCATCATCATCATCATCATCATCATCATCATCATCATCATCATCACCCGACCCTCGTCGTTATCCCTGGTTCCCCCTGCCCGTCCCTTTTCCCACATCTTCGTCGTCGTCCTCTGTCTCCTCCATCACACCTCAATCAGCTTCCCTTTCCTCCCCCTCCTCTGCATCGCTACCATGTCACACCTCAATCCCAGAAGCAGCCATCGAAGGGATCCTGCCTCCTCCTCTAGATTCTTCTCCTCGTACCCCTCGCTTCCTTTTCCCCCTCCTCCTTATCCGCCTCCTCCTCCTCCGAAGAAGAAGAAGAAGCGAGAAGTCTCCCAGAAGACCCCAAGCGACTTCCAAAGAGGCGCCTTGTCCATGACCAGTCTCGCCCCAACTTGACACAAAAAGTCCTCCAGAGACCTCCTCCTTAAACTCATCACCCCATCTTCCTCCTCGTCGTCCTCCTCCTTTTCGCTCGCCACAAACACACAAACATATAGCACCAGCGATGCAAGATGGGCTGGCGGAATGAGCGAAGCGATGGAAAAAGAAGAGGCGCCATGCACTCTGAGGAAATAGCATGGCCCACGCCATGATATTCCCCCCCAATCATCACCCTCTCACTGCCGCCCCCGAGATCGTCGGAATCTCAGAATCCGGGACGCATCGAATCGAATCGCGCCCGCCGGAAGCGACCTCGGACCGGATTCATCGGATCGCCACGGAGAGAGCCTGCGTATCCGCGGCCGCCTCGGGGACCGGCCGCGCCCACGCGGGCGCCGGCAGCGGCGGCGGCCGGTCCGCCCACGCCGCCGCGGCGGCCGAGGACGCCCGCGGCGCGGCCTGCTGCCCAGGCGGCGGGGGGGCCTCCTCCTTCAGGGGGAGGGCGGGCTGCAGGCGACGACGACGGCGACGACGACGACGACGACGACGACGACGACGGCGACGACGACGACGACGGCGACGGCGACGGCGACGACGGTGGCAGCGACGACGACGACGACGACGACGACGACGACGACGACGACGACGACGACGACGGCGACAGCGACGACGACGGCGGCGACGACGACGGCGACGGCGTCGACCCAAGGGGCAGGCCGTGTCCCCCCACCCGCGATGCTGGGCTGACGATGCCACCGCCTGGGGATCGATCTTCGGTGACCTAGCTAGGCAGGCGGTGGATCCTCCCCCTCCTCCTCCTCCTCCTCCTCCTCCTCCTCGTGCACTTGGCGGCCGCCCCCCCGGGGCCAAGAAGGCACACGCCACAGATCCCGGGCCCAAGACCCGGTGGCGTCATTCCCGGACTCCTTCAACAATTACGGGGCCCCCGAACGTCCCCAGGGCCAGCTCTTCCTCCTGCGCCGTGCCGCCTCGCGGCGCCCAGCAAGGGGGGCCCCAGAGGCCGAAGAGAGAGAGAGAGAGAACAAAAAAAAACATGATCGACCCACGAACCCGGAGAGAAATATAGAAATGGAAGGCATGGCAGCGTTCTCAAAGACATCTGATTGGGTGACAGGCCGAAGAGAGAAAAAAAAAAAAAAAAAAAAAAACGGGCCACGGGAGCCGCCCGCCGTGTGGTGCCCGTTCTGCTGCGGTGCGCGCGCACGCCTGGGGGCATCGGCCCCGCCGGGCTCGGCGCGGGCGCAGACTGCTGGGAGGCTCGGCACTCGGGCACCATCCTCCTCCTCCTCCTCCTCCTCCTCCTCCTCCTCCTCCTCCTCCTCCTCCTCCTCCTCCTCCACCTCCTCCACCTCCTCCTCCTCCTCCTCCTCCTCCTCCTCCTCCTCCTCCTCCCTCCTCCTCCTCCTCCTCCTCCTCCCTCCCTCCTCCTCCCTCCCTCCTCCCTCCCTCCGTCCCTCCCCCCTCCTTCTCCTCTTCCTCATCCTCCTCCTCCTCCGCCTCCTCCCCCCTCCTCCTCACACCGACACACGGGGGGGGAGGGCCTCCGCCAGGGGGAGACGACCCCAGATTCCGGCGTCGGTGGTGCACAGTCGTTCGGTCACCCGGCAAGCCCGAAGATTGCCACCACCACTGCGCTCGGGATCGTCTTCCCCCGGTGTCCGCCCCTGGGCCTCCGAGCTTCGGCGCCCTCCGGCCTCCTGGGCCGCGCCGAGGCCGTACATCTGCTGCATCTGCGCGATGCGGGCGCGCCGCTCAGCCTCCGCCGACAACTTCGCGGGCTTCCTCCCAGGGGGGCGCAAAAGGTGCTACGCGAGGGCACTGGATGAGGAACCATCGGGCCAGAGATATCAAAGAAGCTGGCGTCGAAGCACAAGATCGGACGAGTGCACTGGGCGAGAGCCTAAAATCTGATGTCGAAGAACAAAAAGAAAGAGCTTACCAGCCTCGAACGTATCCCTATCCCTAAGATTGACACGCCAAAAGGCGATGACAATCTTAGGGATTCGCCTTCAAAAAATCAGGGAATCCCTAAGATTGGCATCGTGATGAGGAGGTGCCCAGCATAGGGATAGGGATATGTTCCAGGCTGGTAAAGAGCGGCAGAACCACAAGTTCTCGGAGGTCTACGCGGACTCCTTGGATCGGCGCTGGGCCGACGCCCTCAGCAGATGAGGAATCCTCCGGGGTCTGAGGCCTGCCCCGACCGTGGTCAAGCCGCAGGCGGCCGCCCAAGCGAGAAGGCCCCCGGGAAGAGCGAAGAGGCGCAGGCGACTGCGGCCTCGGGATGGCAGGGCGGTCTCATCTGGGGCAGCGGAAGGGGGGATAGGGGGAGCACATCGACCCCCCGACGCCCGCTCATCGCCGGCAGAGGGCTGATGTCGCCCATCCCGTCCAGGGAACCTGCGGTCTCGCCATCGGGGGCCCACTGCCGCTCCATCGGTCGAGTGCATCGCCGACCCAATCTCGATGCCTCCGCCCAGGAGCGGGGACTCCCCTCGGGAGCGGCCAAGAGGGGGGTGTCCAAAAGGGCGGGGTGCAAATCATGACCGGCGGCATGTGCGCGGCCCAGCGGGGGGGCCAGGGACGTAATGAAATAAGAAGAGGCGCCATGAGATCTGGGGAGATATCATGGCCCACGCCATGATATCCACCCCCCCCCTAGTCATCACCCCCCTCTTTTCCGCCTCCGATCCCCCCTGACCCTCGAAGGTCCCGACCCCTTCCCCGGGACCGCCTCTGCATCCCAGGCCGTTCGCTGACCGTGCTGGGGCCCGGGGTGGGCCCCCCCCCCCCCCCCCGGAGGCCGAGAACTACGAGACACTGCCCGTCGCGACATTCTGCACGACGAGAGGAGGTGGGGGGCACTCCCCTCTTGGAAGACCTGGAGGAACAAATAGCAGCATCAAACAGAAACGTTCGGAGCTCCGCGCGGATGTCTTGGATCGGCGCTGAACCCCCCTCCCTCGCACACGGAGCGCGCCAGGGGCGGCGCCGCAGGTGCCGCCAGGGGGGCCAGCGCCGACCCAAGACGTCCGAGCGGACCTCCGAAAAATGGTGCTTATGCCGCTGCTGCTCCCCGCAAAGGAGGGGCCAACGCGGAAGCTCTCCTCCCGGGATCCGCGCGCCGGGGACGGGGGCTCACCGCCGATCCGAGAAACCCACGCGGGCCTCCGAAAAAATGTATGTCTACGCCGTTTCTTGTTCTTCGATCCGTGCAGACGGCGCCGATGCAACGCCGACACGTCGGCGCCGTCGGCGCGGATAAAATCGGGCTCCACATCGAGCGGCATCGCATATGCATCGGCGATGCGGCGAGATCCTGCCACCCGATCTGCTCGGACCCCGTTTGGAAGGCCCCTTGTGAGAAAACCCAAGGAGGTACCAATACCGCCACTCCCTGGACCTCTCCTGGGGCGTGTTCTGACCAGAACTTCGGGAAGAATCCAGCCGTGGCGACCAGGGCTCTCCAGAACGAGCAGCGATGTCGGATGAATGTCCTCCTCTGAATCAGAGGAGGACATCGTTCGGATGTCCTCGTCGGAATAAGATCCTCCTCGGAGCAGGAAAATTGTACCCAGACATCTCTGCTCGTTCGAATGTCTGGGTAGGAGGGGGCGTCCAAGATCAGATCCTGAACGCCCCCTCCTGCCCAGACATCCGAAGGTATGATTGTTCAATCCGCGGCCCCGCAGGTCCTGACCACTTCCTCCAGTGCAATGGTTCTGTACGATTTGTTCACACCGGATCGATTTCTGATGGGCCCCGCGCTCGAAAACGGGCCCCAAAGGGAGGAAGAACGCCACGATTCACAAAATCGTATCGTCGAAGGTCTGGGCACGAACCACCGATTCCTGCCGTTCTTCGATGGGCGCACCCTCCTACGACTGGCACGCCCGAAGGGGGTACGTGAACAACCTGTTCAATGCCCAACAGCACATGTTGCCCAAAACTGAGCGGCCGCTGTTGGGTAGGCGACTTGCTGTCTCAAGTGGGAAACATCCGCGGCGACACCGACAGCACGCCCAAGAATGGGCAGTATCTGCTGTTAGCCTTGGCCCACATTCTATCCGTACGAATTTGGCGGATTCCAGAAACCCTGCTGCCATCTCTTGGGGGGCGCATCTTTTACTTCCGCAGGCTTCTTCCCGCCTTCCGCGCGCTGAGCCGCCCTCGTCTTATATTCGCCACCTTCCGCCGCCCCTCCGCCGCCCTCCGCCGATGAAGAGACGGCGACTCCTTCGAAGCTCGAAGGCGAGGCATGCTCTGGAACGCCTCATTTCAAGGGAAACGGGACCTCTCCCATACGTCTACCTGGGTGCGTTCCGACCAGAATATTCGAGGCGAATCCAGCAGTGGCGACGAGGGCATCCCAGCAGGCCCGAAAAGGGCAAAACGGATGAAGGGCAGCGGTATTGGCATTGGTACCCTTTCTCTCGATCGTGCCGATACGAACCGAAGAACGACGGCGGCGGCGGCGGCGGCGACGACGACGACGACGACGACCACGACGACGACGACGACGACGACGACGACGACCACCACCACCACCACCACCACCACCACCACGACGACGACGACGACGACGACGACGACGACGACGACATCGATTGATCAATCGATCGATGTTCCTCTGGGAGGCCCGACCAGACGCCACGAGCCCGCCGACTCCTGCCGGCGGCCCGCGGGGCGCCGGGGCGCCCGCGCGGGCCGGAGCCGCTGCGCGGGCGGGGCGGCCGGGACCCGCGCGCCGGCGTGGAGGCGGCGCTGCTGGAGGCGGGCGTGCCGTGCCTGCGGGGGCAGCCCGGCTAGGGGGCCACATCCACATCGCGCCACGAGGGTGGGGTTCACTTCGCTCGGGAGCTCCCGAGCGAAGTGAACCCCACCCCCCCCTCAAAAATCGTGGGGGGTAGGGGTAGGGTTCGCATGTGGCCCCCTACCAGCGGCCCCAGCCACAGCGAGGACGCACACATCGACGCTTGCCCGGGGGGCACTCCCCAGGCCTGCGACGCCAGGAGCGACCCTCCGCAGAAGTGGCCTCTGGTGCGGGCCCGCAGGGGTCCCCCCAGCGTAGGCTTTTTTGCGCGCCTGGATCTGGCCCCCCCGCGGCCCCGCCAATGCCGTGCACCAAAGGTCAGCCTTGCCTGGGGTCACTCCCCAGACCTCCGACGCCATGATCTTGTCATGGCGTCGACCCCCACGAAGTCGGGGCCCTTTCCCTGACACCGGCTTTGCACTCCCCGAGGCATTTTTAGTCCGTCCCTTGGCCTGGTGAGTGCCCACGAGGCCGAAAACAGCGAAAACCCGCCGCCATGATTTTTGTTCATGACCTGAGGGAAGAGCATGCTACGCATGAAATGAAGTCAATGGAAATAAATTGCAGTGGATCCGTGAGTGGATCAATCTAGATTGATGAGGCTATGATGCCTCTTTTGATTTTGAGCCGGCTATGATGCCCGCTCGTGCCCACCCCGCTCCGTCTTCAGGGACTTCGCATCCCCCTATGATGGTAAGATGGGAAGACGGGTCTTGCGCCTGGGCTTGAGTATGCCTGGGGGGGCAGGTCTAGAGGGTCGGCGCGCAGGGCGCTCGGGGGAGGCGCGCCACGTCTTTTGCAGTCTGCAGCGTGTGTGTTTGGGATCAGCTGGCCGCCATGAGCGACGCGCCGACGCCTCCAAAATTGCACCGACGACCAGAAAGTAATGTTGTCAGTTTCCTGCGCCCAGCGCTAAAAAATTGCGCCGACGGCCAGAGAGGCAGGGGACCTGGCCCAGGAACCTACCCAACCCACACACACACACACACACACACACACACACCAGAGAGATCCAACGCTCCGAAGAAGTTGGAGCGGCCAGTCGTGGGCCGTTTTCGGCCTCTGGGGGCCCTCGCTGGGCCTCGGGGATCGTCAGAAAACGGCCCAGGACGAAACATCTGCCGTAGGGAAGTGGTCCAGACCCTGGGGGCCCACGCATCGAAAAAATTGGAGCGGCCCGATGTCTGGGCCCCCAGGCCCCCTCGAGTCATGAAAAGCTCACGACGGGAAGGTGTTGTATGGCTTGTGGCCTTCAAAAGGCCTTCACTGGGCCTCGCCCCCCCCCAACAACAAAAAAAACGCGACTCGGGATGCAAAACAAGTCCAGGGAATTGATCGAGACCGCTGGAGTCGACGTTACGACAAAATCATGACGTCTTGGGTCTGGGCCCTGCGCGTGCCAACAAGGGTCGAACACTTAAGCCAGCGTAATGCTGGTTGTGGTCGGTGTGGCGTCCCACGAGGACCAGGTCGACCACAGCCATAAGCAAGGTGTAGATGTCGACATTTGTGTGTGTGTTTTCCCCGAAGGGCCCTCCCGAACGATTCGCTTGGTTGTGGTTGGGATTCTCTGTCGTGCCCCGACTGCCCGTGCTCGCGGTACAGGCTCTCCAGGCGCGACTGCGCCGAGGCCCTGGCAGGCAGCCACAAATGCAGGTACGAGATCAGAGGGGGCAATTACCCGCCAGTCGGGACAAGTAGGTCGAAACGTGAAGTAAGAAGGGTAATGAAGTAGGGTTCGGCCCCGCTCAAGTTATCAACAAAAGCCGCAAACAAATACTCTTGAAATAGGAAGGCGTTTCAAGTAGATTGGGATATGGGAATCCACAAGTCTATACGTTCAACGACCAACGTATATTCCGATATCGCTGCTCGTTCTGGAGAGCCCTGGTCGACACGGCTGGATTCTCCTCGGAATTCGAATCAGAACGCACCCCAAGAGAGGTCCATGGAGTAGCGGTATTGGTACCTTTGGGTTTCCCCGCAAGCGGCCTCCCAAGTGGAGTTCGAATAGGTAGGGTCGGGAGATCGCGCCGCGTCGCCGATGCATCGGCGATGCGGCTCGATGTGGGGCCCAATTTGGTGCACGCCGACGGCGCCGATGCATCGGCGTTGCATCGGCGCCGTCGGCTCGGATCGAAGAGCAAAAGATGGCATAAACATAATCTCTCGGGGGTCCGCGCGAACTTCTTGGATCGGCGCTGGAGCCCCTCCCTGGCGCGCCGAGCGCGCCAGGCCAGGGAGCCCAGTTGATTCCTACCCTGAAACCCGACGTCACATCGGGGATCTCTGAGATGCGGTGGTTCTGGAAGATGTATCAACCCGCGACAATCCCAGGACGTTCAGGAGCGTTCTCGCTGAGATGGCCGCGGCGGTTGCTGAGAGGATAAGGGGGGTACAAGTGGACGCTAAGGGTTGTTATAGCCCGCATAACCTAGCCTATAAGTAGGTTCCACGTGCGCTGAATGGTTTAGGGGGTTCGATCCCTCCGCCGTAAGCCACTTAGGGCACCTGTAACCCACTTAGATGCCAGGTTTCGCCAGCTAGAACCACCTTCGCATCCGTTTCTGAGCCCCCTTTGTCACCTTCGCAACCGCCGCGGTCATGTCAGCAGAGCCTTCCAAAACGCTGTGGAGCGCGCTATCCCTGCCCCAGCCCCGCGCGAGCATGTGAGCCATCTCATGAGGCCCGCGCGCTGCAGTCTCTCCACGCCGGGCGTGTTTGCCCAGCCTTCGAGGAGGAGGAGGAGGAGGAGGAGGAGGGAAGAGGAGGAGGAGGAGGAGGAGGAGGAGGAGGAGGAGGAGGAGGAGGAGGAGGAGGAGGAGGTGAGGGAGGAGGGAGAGGGAGGAGGAGGAGGAGGAGGAAGAAGGAGGGAGAGGGGAGGAGGGAGGAGGAGGAGGCTCCGAGGCCGCGAGCGGGCCCCCTCCTCGGGGCCTCCCGCGCCCGGAGGGGGCGCGCCCGACGCCCGCGGGCCCCGTCCCGGCACGCGGCCCCCGCGCGGCCTGCCCCCGCGCGGGCCCTGTCCCGGCACGCGGCCCCCGCGCGCCGCCGTCCGCGCCAGCGGTCTCGGGCTCCGAGGCCCTCGCGGACCGATCGGGCTCGAGAGATCGCGGGTCCACCGGGCAGGCAGCCGGCCCTGGAACGCAGGCGGACCTGCAGTCATCGTGCTACCATAAAAAAGGACGCTGCACGAGGAACGAAGGGGCTTTTCCTGGCCACGGAGAGCCTAGGCCACACATGGGTAGGCTCCCCGACCT